CCTTCAGGCCTCGTTCGTATGTGTGCTATGTTACACGGGCCGCAATATTTTTGGATGATGACCTTTTTTTTAGGCCATCTATCTAAAATTAGTTAGTGGGGACCTCTAATAAATAAAACATAAATATATCCCGTTGGTTACTACAAAAACAAGATAACTCACATTTTTAGAGTTTCGATAAAACACTGTTCAAAAGTTTAAAATTGAATAAAAAATGAGTAAAAGCTTCAAACTGTTCATTAACTTCAATGAAGAAGGCATTGAAAACATTGCTCACAAAGTATAAACTAAGAATCTATATCAATAATTGGTAGAAAAAAGAGAAAAAAACGTCACTTAGCTTATTTTAGCTCTACAAACAAATCATAATTCAATGCATGTGTCACTATCTTCAATCGAAGATTCAGGTATTATTGGATTATTGGATACAGGTAGATTGTGATAATAATGGTGAAATTCATCAGATGTAACACCTAATTTTGCAAAATTTTAGTAATTCCTTCTTTGCAGTATTTTCAAAACTTTGTTTCATCCTTTCATGCATCCCTCTGAATAAATACACTATTAGGAATCCTAATAGTGTTTCTGCCTAATTTAGGAATCGGACTAAATATTAGGGGGTCATTTTTTGGCAACTTTTTTTTTAACTAAAAAACAAGCTAAAAACTTTCAGGAAGGTGAAAAAAGAAGCCTCTAAAAATTTGAGCTCTTAATATTATCATTTAGTGGTGGTACATGTTCCTAACTTTCTATTTTCCATCTAAATAACATGGAAATTTTTCTTCTTTTGTTTAATTTTTGTAGCTTGACATTTGAGCATTGTAAAAATAAACTGAAACATTATTTTGGTAGGAAATTAAATGCTCTACAAAAAAAGTTTTAATTTATTTTTTCATCGAATGAGCCGTTCTGAAGATATTATAACTTAAAGTTGCAAATGTATAAAATTGTGACTTTTATTTTATTAAACTAATACTGATGCCTTTTTTTATGTCATAAAAATTATTTTTATTTAGAAAACTGGTTTTTGTGCGCTAATATTTTTAGAAAGCTAAAATAAAAAAAATTACATCTTAGATATTATTTTATAGATTAAAAAAACTTTTTAACAATTAGCATACTAAAATTTTGAAACTTAATAGAAATTTTAATGTCTTATCAGAATTAAATGATGTAACTATATTTGTTTAAGTTTTTTTATTACAATTTGGATATTTTCGTCGGTGCTCTTTTACCACTTGTAATAAATATTAAAATTGTTTAGTTAGGCATTTATTATATTCTTCTACTAATGCGACGCCACGTCATGCAACGTCATTGACAACTTTCAGTTTTTCGAAAAACTCCAAATTCTCTTGATAACTTTCATTATCTGGCTACATTAGTACATCTTCATCCAGAAAGTCGTACGGCAAATCAAATTTATCAAAAAGTTTCAATGATTGTTTTGAAACAAAGACTCATATTTTTGTTTAAAAATATTTCTGGTGAGTTTTTGTCTTCTGTGCACAATTTTTTTCTTTCTATACGAAAATAATGATTTTTTTAGTTGATAAAAAAAGTTGCTTAAAAATGACACCCTACTTAATATATTTAGCAAAAATAAGTTATATGCCTATTATCTGGTTTTGGTAGATACACTTAGCAATTGAACACAATGTTATGATTATGTTTTCGCATAAATGTCACTCCATCTTGTTTGTGCATATTGTTAATGTATTAATATGGAGTTAGTTTTTATTGGGTATCTGTTTATCATGAATATATACTTCGTTCATACTTGTCGAAAATTTCAAAAGTGGAACTATCTTGTTTTTGCAGTAACCCCACAAAATTCCAAACGTTTATTTAAAAATTAGCGTGTTATTTAGCGCTGCGACCAATAATAATGTTTCGGGCCGCAAAAAAAACTTGGAGGGCCGCAGGTTGAGTATGGCTGTTCTAGAAAGATTATGAAAATCAGAAAATCACGCTAAACAAATATCACCCTATATATAAAATATACATTTTCTATTTTAATGTACATTCGTTAAATTAAATAATTCAGTATAATATTTTATATAATATTTTGATAAACATTAGATGCAATTCATAACTACATTCTCGAAAATGTAAATATAACATTAAACTAGACACGTACTGACCTTAATCGATTAATATAAAAATCGGCTAAGTCAACAATAATGACACTCTTGGTCGGAGTCTCACCCTAGACTCTTAGTTTGAGTCTCATCATCGTCTTGCATCCAATTGTAACATTTTTGGAGCTTTTATTTATATTTAATAAATTATTAATTGTTGTTCTGCTATTTTATTTCCCCGAGTAGCTCGTGACAGTAGGCAATACATTATACATGGTTGTTAGGTACGCTGTTAGGCATAGTCAAAGATATCGGATAGAATAGATACGCCTTGTATACATTTTTCGTTTTTGACTTATCCTGTGAACCAAAAACGGGACATCGGATGAGAGGACAAAGTAAACCTATAATACTCTTCACAGACTAATGTGCGAGGAGTATAATAATAATAAATAGACTTATATTTTTAATTTCTATTCATGTATTTTTTAAAAATGATCTAGAATAACAAATTCGCAATTTAGTACTTTCAAATCAACGATGAACAACTACTAGACTAATTTTGTTTACAAAACTCGAATTGCAAACATTCACGGTGTTATCCATGTAGTTGTTATGAGTATGTATGAGTTACAAGGACTGTTTATGGTTATAATTCGGTATTGACTTAACATAAGGCTCTAAAACGCACAAAAGGCTTTCATTACGTTAAGGAAGTATGTTTGCATTCTTAATGCCAGTTATTATCATTTTAATGTATTTTCTCGTTGCAACTATCACAGTTGAAGGTGATTTCTAGGAAAGTTGGCAATTCATTTTGAAGTATGACAGCAGCGTACAGCAAGCGTCGTAGACGTAGGTACTTGGTTCATTCATTAAAAGGATGCTCGCTCCTCAGATAAACAAACTCGCACAAATTATCCCCACTCAAATCAGCAGTCGTCTTGTTCTTTCTAATGCGGCAGCCGATGCGACGGCTGTCTACGTAATATAAAACACCATCTGGACGATTGAAATAAAAAAGGGCTTAATTTTGAATGAATGAATTAGTCTAGTAGTTTTTCATCATTCTTTTAAATGCTAACAACAGTTTAAGCTGCTATTTTAATCTACAAGAAAATATACACAGCAGTTTTTTGAATATTCTCTGTATATATTGAAAATTGTTTCTTTAAATTTACTTTTGATTCAGAAGACCTATTGAACGTATATATTTTATTAGGATTTTATCAATAAATAATTTTTATAAAATCTAAATAAACCCTCCCGAAACACTACGGTTATGTACGACGTACAATACTCCTTTCCCCGTTTGGTTTATCATGCGGACAGAAGGTGTATTGGTTATACAGTATGAAGGTCGAGTCTATATTAGATAATATGATGCTATGGGCATAGTAGACTAAGTTAAATGAAATGTCATTTGATAGTTTGTTTTTAAAAACAATTTTGCCTGAATAAGGAATAGTGAATAGCTATTTACAATGAATGAATTTTAATTTAGTTTGTAGGTTAGGTTAGGAGAATATCTATTTACAATGAATGAATTTTAATTTAATTCGTAGGTATGTAGTCAAATCGTTAAATATTTTGAATATTAAATAATATGTTTTTGTTTTACTATTTATTTGACATTGACTTTCAATATTAAGTCCCTTTTCATGATTATGATTTTGGATAATAGTGATTTTCGTATATTTAATAATAATGTTATTTTTAAAATTTAAATAATCTAAAATAAAAAGTGTACAATCAAATAAAATAAAAAATAGAATGAAAATATTAAATGCTTGAGATCTATATTATACTCTTCACAGTTTAACGCCCCCATTTTTAATATTATTTTTTTCAAAATGAGTAGGCTTCCTCCCCTTATGCAGCTTTCCTTGAAGATTTCAAGTTGATATCTTTTTGTTTCCGAGATTTTTTTATATAATTTTAAATTATTTGAACCACCCTTAACCCCTATTTTTATTCAGATTTTTTTTTAGAACAGAAAACGTGACTTCGGATGAACAACATTTTTAAAAGTTGCTAAAAACTAGATGAATTTTTTTTTAAATTTGAATCAATATTAAAAATGTTGGTTTCTCGAAAGTAAACCTATAATACTCTTCACAGACTACCGTGTGAAGAGTATAACAATCAACAAGTAAACATTTGTATCCTACTGAGACATTGTTTATGTCTGAATGCAGAAATTAAAAATACATATAAATAAAACCGAATCGCTCATTATTTCAAAAACCACATGAGTCAACATTTGTCATTCAGGTTTATGTCTTGAAAAGTCGTGTCAAGGGTAGGTAGGAGCAACCCGAATAAAGAAGATACCTCTAAATAACTAAACTAAAATCTATTAAAAAATTAATCAAACAATATTAAATTTATAATAAAAACAAATTTCAAGATCTCAAAGAATCAGGTTTCTACAGTGTAACAATTTTTATTTGAGGATGACTCTTTTATCCGCTTTTAATATAGTTAAATATCGTTAAAATAATATTGTTAAATAAATATCGTTAAATAAACATCGTTAAATAAACATCGTTAAATAAACATCGTTAAATAAATATCGTTAAATAAATATCGTTAAATAAATATCGTTAAATATTGTTAAATATTGTTAAATATTGTTGTTAAATATTGTTGTTAAATATTGTTGTTAAATATTGTTGTTAAATATTGTTGTTAAATATTGTTGTTAAATATTGCTGTTAAATATTGTTGTTAAATATTGTTGTTAAATATTGTTGTTAAATATTGTTGTTAAATATTGTAAAATACTGTTAAAAATCGTTAAAAATAGTTAATTATCGTTAAATATTGTTAAATAACATTAAATATGGTTAAATATTGTTATAATTGTTTAAATTAATGTGCATATGTGTCATTGAACCCGTTCGTTGGTTTACTTACCATTAGGATGCATCGGCTCCAAACATTCAGGACACGATATACATATTCGTGACTCTGTGATCTCAACTTTGAGATATTGTTGAAAACAGGGAATACATGCCCTGTGGCCGCACGCCTCCAATGCGCAGAATTCTTCTATGGGAAGTTCGGCGAAGCACAATGGGCATTCCATGGACGTTGCGAGAACTTCACCACTCTAGAAACAATAAAAAAAAATATTTTTTGAACAAGGATAATTTCCTGACAGTAGTAGAATTTTATATGAATTAATAAAAGTTCTTTTGTTATATGAGTCACAAATTTTTATTTACCAAGCATTGAATACGTTTCAAAAAACAAATTTTTCCATCTTCTGGTACAGTCAAATTATAATTAAAAAAAAAAAACAACAAATTTTAAACAGGCGAAATCCCATTTTTTGTATTTCTACTTCTAATAAGTTAATACATAATAATTTTAAATCGTCTTGAAAATTGGGGTCTAATAAAAAAAAAAAAATACATACCAATTACAATTAATATCATTCATTACAGAACGCCAAAGCAATTATCCTCGAAACTTTATGCTACTTTAAGCAGTAGAGGTATTAGACACGCAAAAAGTTCTTTTAATTCTTTCTCACGTAAATTAAAGATATTTTTTAAAACAACTTTTTATTTGTTTTTATGCCCCATTTTTTCAATACATATTGTTTTCAATTTGTCTGGCAAGACACTATTTTTGATATTGTTGACTGTATAGCGGAAAAAAAATTGTTTGACATTATATTTATTTATAAAAGGTATAAGTTCAATGGTTGTTATCGAGAAAAACAAACTCAATTATTATAATTTATTAAAAAAAAATTATTATCCTTCAAGTCTCGACCAACCTAAAAGATATCAGTGGTGTCGCAAAACGATTTTATTAATTTTTGATGATGTATTCTACCTAGTTAAAATATTTTGACAGTTCTGTCATTCCCAGTATCTAATAAAAACTTTGATATATGCAGATTATTTGTATCTCTAAAATAAGTTAGCATTATAGTTGAGATTACTTTCCGAAATCATAATATCCAGTCCCCATATTCCCAAGAAACGACACCATAACTAGATATTATTGGTGTTCAAAACGAATTGCAGAATTATTTGTAATACATTTTGAAATAATGGAAAAATAGAGGTTTATTTTGAAGAATTGAAACAAACCAAATTATAGATGATTTTTAAGCTATTGCATAGCTTTTATCGCGGGATTTGAGCACGGCGACCGAATCAAGAAATTCCGTAACGAAAATAAACCTAACACCCCCCCACTCCGACCGGCACAGCCGTGCGGTGTTGAAAGCCGTGCATCGTCTAACGTCGTTTCAGTTCGGCAGACTTCGGCACGGTGTTTGTGTGCGTGCGACTAGACGTATGCGTGTACACTAGCTGCTAACTGCTCATACCTGATTCTCTTTTAGACACAATTTCGGTTGAATTTGAAAATGAATAATGATCCACAAGAATCCAAAACAAAATATGGGACCACCATTGACGCGGTATTTTCCAGATATTTAGAAGATATCAAGTCTCAAACTTATATTTATTATTTCAGTTACCATAAACCTATAGTTTCAATGATAAAAATTCCTGAATAACCTACATGTATTGTAAGATAATAAAAATATTTTAAACAATATTAACTTGTCATTTATTCAATAAAAAAAAAAAAAAAAAATGTTTTCTTATCGTTCACCACGCTAAAAAGTGTAACTTGAATTAATATCAAAGAAAAAAAAATACTGCATAAATTAAATAAATAATTATAATTGCATAAGTTGATAAAAAATGCTATGCAATAGCTTTACCGCGGCAGTCCCCGAGTGCCACACGTATTTTTTTATTAACAAAAAAATTCCATGAAATCTTAGCTATCAGAAATTGTTCTCATTCTTGTCTCGTATAGTATAAACATAACACAAAATCTTACCTTAGTGCTTGTAGTAAACACAGATGTTCGACTAGTTGCTTGGTGAATTTCGACATGATGCCTATCATTTTCTTTAGAACTATTTCCTACCCTGCCATCCGGTATATCTTTACCTAAAACAAAAAAAAAACAGTTCATAACATATCGTACTACATATTTATCATCATGGTTGGCCATATTTTGATCAACATATCAATTTTTATTTAGTAATACTTTTTTTTATAAGAAACTAACAGCCGTATGCATAGTCGATCGCCAGCGACTCGCCAGAGATTCATTTCGGCGTATCGCCAGCGGTTCGCTGGCGATCCGCTGGCGAAAGCCTAAAAAGCTGGCGACTCGCCGGAGATTGTCACCGGAATGTCATTTCACGCAAGTTTTCATGTTCTTTTATAGGGAAAAATTTGAAATTCGTTCATTATTTTTTGAGTTTTAAGAAATGAATCATGAATAAAATGCGAGAGATACCGGTGATAATCCCTATAAAAGAAAATAAAAACTTGCGTGAAATGACATTCCGGTGACAATCTCCGGCGAGTCGCCAGCTTTTTAGGCTTTCGCCGGCGGATCGCCAGCGAAATGAATCTCTGGCGAGTCGCTGGCGATCGACTGTGCATACGGCTGTAAATGTAGTCTCAACATTTCAAAATCAGGTAAAATGTCCTAAGCAGGTATAATTTCATAATCTTGTGTAATGTCATAATCGGGTGTAATCCACATACTTTGATTTTCTTTTACTATACGGAGAATGGTCGCACTGCGCAGCTTTCTGAGTGCCTTTTAAAAGGAGATAGAAAACTCCGCCATTTTGAACCCTTATTACGTGTTGCCTACATCTTGGCGCAATATTTTTAAAAGGCGCGTTTTAATCATATGCTTCTGCTTCGGAATTGTCGGTTTTCCTGTTTTAATATCGTATAGTAATCAAAGTATGTGGGTGTAACCACAACTTTGATTACTATACGGTGCAAGAGAGAGGTCCGACACGCCCAACATACGGCGCGGCCATTTTGATTCCTATGCCACAGTTTATAGCTAAAGAATCAGATCGCTCACTCTACGTGGGCACTTTTGATCTCAATGTTCCAGTTTATACACTGCGCAACTCGGATAATACAATATATGACAACCGCCTATAATAAAACAGCAGTCTTCTGCGTATCCTGAATTTGTATCCCTGGAGTGGATGTTGTTTTGGAACTTTCAACTGGTCCGAGTGAGCCGATTCTTTAGCAATAAAATGTGGACTAAAAAATAATATTCACTGACACTGACAGCAGCAAGCAAAATATCAGGTGCGTTTTAATCATCCGCTTCTGCTTCCGGAATTTCCGGTTTAGTCGTTTTAACCTGTCAGATTAAAACAAGAAAACCGACAATTCCGAAGCAGAAGCGGATGATTAAAACGCACCTATTAAAAATATTGCGCCAAGATGTAGGCAACACGTAATAAGGGATCAAAATGGCGGAGTTTCCTATCTGCTTTTAAAAGGCACTCAGAAAGCTGCGCAGTGCGACCATTCTCCGTATAGTAAAAGAAAATCAAATATGTGGGTGTAACTGCTAAAATCTGGTCAAATGTCATTATGTCAGTTAGTTGAAAGTAAGTAATAATTGGTATTATTATTAGTAAAATATAAATTACACAAAAATTCTAAAAAAGTATTTTCAATATTTTAACTAAATATTCTAAAAGAAAACATTATCCAAGGTAGTAGGTACGTTGACATTCTAAAAGGTAAAAATTAAACTGTTACTTTTTATGCATATTTGTGTGCTAGAGGCTAGAGGTAAATATCTTTTGTTTAGAGACAAATAATTTATTGATTTTCATATATTATAAAGGGTGTCCAAATTTGACCTTCGGATTTAATTTAATAATAAATCACAAAAAACTCTTGAAATATTATAATGTTGAATTATTTTAAAGTTTAAATGTTGCAGTTAATGAAAAATGATATCCGGCTTGTGACTTCCTCTGCTTCTTTAGCATTCTTTTTCTAAAAATTTCAATAATATTTTCGCAAACATTCTATTCAATTTCTTCATTTTTTTGAATAACTCGAAGTTGTTCAGGTGTTTGAGGGTTATTAGCTTAAACTTGTCCCTTCAAAAAGCCCCACAAGAAATAATCCAATGGTGTAAGGTCGCACGACCTAGGCGAGAAATTATTAGATTGCCAAATCTATCCCTTAAAAGATTTAGTGTTTTGTCCGATATGTGGCGAGTGGCACTGTCTTGCTAGAACCACATGTTCTGGACATCCATACCTTCTAATTCGTTCCCCAAATAATCTTTAATCATTGTTCTGTATCGCACTCCATTTACAGTTATCACAGCATCAGCTTCATTCTGGAAAAAATAAGGACCAATAACGTCACCAGACCAAAAACCACATCACATAGTCATATTTACTGGATACAGTCGTTTTTCCAATATTTCTCTTGGTTTTTCTTCACCCCATATTCTGCAGTTTCAGCAAAACAGTTGTTCCATGCTGACCAAAAAACAAGTATCCGCAAAGTTTTTACTTGACATATGTCATCATAGAAAAACTGTTAACGAAGATTACCAAAAATGGCGGTCAATTTAATTCGGAATGTCTTTGGACACCCAAGATTTATCTTATATTTAGCAATATTCATTTATTTCAATATTTATTCTCTAAATATAAATTGCTTATTTATTCTTGTAATTATTATAAATATACATAATATGTAACTGTTTATTCACTTTTATTACTATTCTCTCCTCCCCTTTCCAAAACCAGCTATGAAATATTCCAAGTATTTGTGAAGCCTCGGCGTTTCTACCTCCTAAGGACTATAACTAAGTGCCAAAGCCGCTCGACTATGCTATTAAGGGATTATTTTAATTTGTCACTGGTGAATGGTAACAGTACTGCCTTTATCCCTTAATAGTATATTGAGAACAGTAGTTAAAGACCTATCAGTTGTTACAAATGAAATTTTAGACTAATTGGTTGTTACATGAGTGTTCATATTTAGGTTTGTTGGTTTACAAATTTATAAAAAATTGTTCTGTCACTTTCTCCTATCCATTTTTTATTTAAAGTATTTGTATCGTTTTATATTTTTTATCCAGCCCAGTATTTTTGAAAATATTTTAGGTGCTATATTTATGTAAGAACAAAATTTTTGACATGCATCTTGGTATAACAAATGCTCTTCTTTTAATTCTCGTTTAATCTTATGAGAAATTAGCTTTAGTTTACTTTTATTTTGCTTAGCAAATAATATTTATAAACAGAAAATGTATGGTTTCAAAATTCTAATGAGGACCAGCTAGGATATGAGCATGAGTTCTAGCTGTAATTAATGGAATCAGGATTAGCTACAACTAATATTCTTTTTCATCTACCACTATAAAAAATAAAGAAACTACTGTCTTCTTAGTATTACTTTCTGACTCATGTCATTTGGAAAATCATATGCATTAATTCTTGACTTGTCAGACCAGTTAAAGGCCACATAATGTAGCCTTTTTAGTACTTCAATAGAATAGTCTCATTCAGTGGCGTAGCCAGCCATTTTTCATGGGAGGTTTTGAGAAGTATGGGGGGTTACATTAAGAAAGTAAATAAAAACCAACAGTCAATAACGGTCAGCGCCAATACTATAGCGGAAATGGTGACCCCCAAAATCTTGATCCCATTCCTCTCTTGTATTGACATAATGGGCGAAACAAAACATTTAAAAAAAACTATTGTTAAATTTTATACTTTTTATCCCAATTCGCCCCAAGCCACTCTTACGTCAACATTTTCAATGACACACTGTATAAATTATGAAGGATTATTAAAAGGCACATTTTTTGAGTACACCCACAATAAAAAAAGTTTCATAGGTTACTTATTGAGAAATTTGAACTTAAATTTTACCAGGAATAAAACCAACCGAAGAATTTGCGCGGACACCCGGTATATAGTTTGTTATCATTACGGTATATAGTTTGTTATCATTATTTGACATTTATGTATGGCAATGACCACACAATGAAACAATGTATGTTACTGAGGCCCTTCCTATGGGGCCTCAGAATTGCATTCTTGCAGACGAAAAAATTTTCTGACCCCCATTTTTTAAAACTTTTTTTCATGTTTCTGATCATTCTGAGTCCGAAAATCCAAAGAAAAATTTCATCTGGTCGTCTGTATGTATGCCGGCACAATAACTCTAGAACGAAAGTTCTGATTGACTTGCGGTTTTGATTTTCTTGAATAATTACTTCTAACTTTAAACCCTATTGATTTTCAGAATTTTCGGTTCATTCTAACTACTTTAATAACAATTTTCTTAAAATCCGCCTATGCATTCTTTATGTGACAAATTTCTAACGTCAAAATTCCTAACATTCTTTACATTCCATAAATTTCAAACATTTTCCAACGACCTGTCAAACAACAGCTGTTGATAGTAAAGGTGAAATTTCTAAGGCGGGTTGCGACCTTCATACTTGCAACCATATAGCTATTTTGGAGGCTATTTTCATTCGAAATTAGTCGCCAAGCCTGCCAATTTATGAAAAATATATAAGCAGTTTCTTAAAAATTACTTTTTTATGGTGGTGCTATTAAGCGTACTACTATTTCGCCCCTATCCACAAAAACACCTTCATCAAATTTACTGGTTCTCTGTCGCAACCCCATAGAATAATTAACCGGCCATTTTATTTGGCAAAAATCAAAATAATGCTTGGCTGTGCCTGTCAAGTATCAAGATGTCAACTGTGATAAGTGAATGGCTCTTAAATGTCAAATTATTTAAAAATGTATACTTCTTTTGATATTTATTGCAAATAATAAATATCTCAATTCGGGCTTTCCATAAATAAAGGTACAGCAAGACAGATAATATAATGTATACAAAGCACTTTTTTATTATATAAAAGAGAGGTAGGATGCCCATTTCAAATTTGGATCAATTATGATACCGAGGTATTTTGTTGTGTTTTTCATTTTAATTATAAAGTTGTCATTTATTTGTATGTTGAAAGAAGGCCTTTGTAAATTACATTGCTCTCTATGGATCTGCTTTAACACAAAAATAGTTTTGTGGCTATAAGTTGCTATAACCTATCGTCGCAAAACTAT